GGCATCAGTATCCAGTTGTTATCAAGTAGTCATCAGATGTTCTCCTGCCCAGGGTCATTGAGGTGCCAGGCGAGTCCACAGCTGGTTAACTCATAGCTTCAGTCTCACAAAATGTTACAGCTGGAAGGGTTTTAGTTCTCAGTTCAAAGAGAGTCAGTGTTCTCTGATTCTGAATAACGAACCTTCAATGGGCTCTGCCAATAAGCAGCGCTCTGCCTACAAGCCCTGCCCGTCCACTGAGAGCAGGAGCGCAATGGGAGCAGAACCAGAGCAATCGCCAGGCCTCCATCGCCATGGCTCTGAACTAATTCTAGCCGTTCATCTAGTAACACTTTTGTGGGTCTCCATGCCCTCGATCCTGACCCAAGTCTGAGTCTTTCTCTTTCACCTGACTTTCTGAATGTCCTCATCCTCCCTGTGCTGTCTGATAAGGGTCAGATGGGAACCTGGTAGGGCACTTTCCAGGCTGCTGGTGGTTGCAAAGACTGAGGAGATAGAGAATCCAGACCAGGAAAAGGGGTTACTTCAGGTCTCAGCACAATTCCAGGCAAAATAAGTCCGAGTTCCCACCTCCCATCCTCTCTGAGGAATTCTGTGCATCACTGCAAAATGAAAGACCCAATCATAGTTTTGTGTATAAGCTTCAGGTGTGTTAAACTTATAAGCATATTGTTTTAACTTTTTAGCTATGTCTGCATCCAAAGACATAATCCTGTTGTTTAATTTAGTCTGCAAAGAGCATCTTCCAACACTTAACAGTTTTACTGACCTGTGTCCAATTTATTTCCCCTTTTCTGAACTCTGGTAAGATCTGACTGTGCCATTCACTTAAAAGATTGATTACTAATCCTCTTCCTCAATATCCAAGACAAAAGAAGGTGTCACTCTATTGACAGGGAAACCTTCATTTTTGGAATTTGGGGAAAGTGAATTTCAGCACAGCAGGAGAGTCCTGGGAAGCAGCGGGTGTCCTTTACACAGAGAGAAATTGAACTAGGGATCCGTCAAACTGTTTTCCAGTGCTCCCTAGCTCTGAAGGTAGCTCTGTGAGCTGGAGGCAGTCGTGACTTCTACGGTTTGCATGGTCATTGCACAGTTGTGTGATGAGATCATAAAATCCTCAGGGCTCCTGTCCAGCTGTAACATCAGAGAGATATGGGGAAAAGTGACTTTCTCTATATCAACTGTATTTCTTTTTCTTCTGTTCCAGCCAATGCAAGAGTCTGTCCAGCCCTCGTTTCTGAACTGAGAAGCTTCCTTTTTGAGCCTACATTTCTCTACAGATTAAATGTTCTGAAATTTAATGCACCTCCTGAGATTGCTCAGTCCAAGGTGGAAGTGAAGAAATGCATAAATTCTGATATCTCCTTCTTTAAAAGACTCCAGTTTCTACCAATTATGGTAAATTCTTTCCTCTTTCTGCACAGAGGCTCTACTCAGTGCACAGCCAGGAGGGAGGTGGACATCTATCTACTCCATGAGGACACAGGGGCACCTTCACACCTGAGAGGGTGACCCATGGCCACAGGGTGGATGAAACATGACACCTGCTGAGCTGTGCTTGGGCTGCACCCAGCATCTGGGCATGGTCCCTTTTCTCAGGTCACCTCCCTGGGTGCCAGGTTCCCCACAATGTCCTCAGGGGGAGGACAACCAGGGGCCCACACAGGCATGTTGGAGAGATAGAGACACTGCCAGGAGCTGACAGGGGGCGAGCTTCCCTCACCCAGTGGCACAGTCACTGGGAATCTCATGGGGAGCATTGGGACATTGAAGGGGAGACAGTGGGAGGGAGGGAACCAGCCCCCGCCTCTGACCTGATGGAGGGTGCACTGGCTGGGGTCTCTGAGCTTCTGCAGAGCCCAGGCCCACTCCCTGTACCTTTGCCCCACTTTTCCACCCCTCACTTCTCACGGCCAGTGGGTACAGGTGCTCCGTGCTATGTCTCCTGCAGCCTCATGTAAAGCTGAATCACTTAAATTATGCCTTTCTGAAGAAATCCGATATCTAAAGGTGTCTCTCAGCTTGACTGTTGCTAGAATTAAGTCAGGCTTATGCAAATTTCCATGATAGCTTGGTCCTCAGAGCAAAGAGTACATGTGCCATCACATTGAATACCACACTGGAAATCTTCAAGGCTGGAAATCTGAAAGCACAACTTCCCAAGCCCCTCCCACCCCACCTGGTCTCTTAACCTCATGTCCACCTCAGAGTGAGAAAGTACAGTCCTGGGACCTGGGAGTCAGAGAAAGCAAATCCTGGGCTGCTCTTCACCCCAATCCTCTGTCCATTAGAATCCTGAGTCCTACTCTTGGGTCCCTCGGGGTCCCTTTGCTGGGCTGTGGACATGGCTCTTTCTTGACCCTCATGGTTTGTTGTAACTGGACCAGGTCGACTGAGCTCACCACTTGCACTGCTGTCCTGCCTGCGGGCCTCCATTTCCGTTGCTGGTTGAAATATTTCTTCCACATAATGGTTTTAAACAACAGACTGTGTTAATGTGTCATGTCCAGGAACACCAGGACTGACCTCCCTCTTCTGTTTTGTATTTCAGATGAAAGTACTGGCGAAATGTTAAGTCCTAGATTGAAAAACATCTTACACACAAGGACCTCTGACGTTCCATGATGACCTGATCTTCCCTAGAAAATGTGAAGGTTTCAACATCTTACTTCAATAAATCACTCGCCCTGCACTTCTCTGCATGTCTTGTTATCATCCAATAGTCTCTGATCTGCAGTTGGGGTGGTTTCATCATTAAGTGGCCATTGGGTGTTGTCAATAGTAAATTTCAGGGACCAGTGTCCAGTTACCCATGGTGGCCTGAGGTGTAGGGATCACAAGAGGAAATATTTGCTCAGGACCATCCTGTATTACTTTTCGGATTTCCCACGCAAAGGGCCATGAGTGAAAAAGATGGTTAGAGGTAAAAAGCAATCACAGCGTTCCTGTTCCTGGGCTTGTACTGAGGGATACCCGCAGCCTAACTGTCTGGCCAGTCACGTGGCTCCCACCAGCAGCATCACTATATTCCATCCTCATCATAACCACAAACAACCTGCCTGGTCCTCACCCTTCACTGTGGTTCAATCCTAGGATGGTCCCGTATAACTTGTTTTCTGCCCACTTCTCTATTTGTTGTGAATTCAGTGTTCAACCTCCAGTGAGCTTTTTTCGCTCTGCACACTCACATTACTCTTCACACTCACATTACTCTTCACACTCACATTACTCTTCACTGTCCACACCATTCAGCAACCCTTGCCTACTGTTCCCCCTCATTCTTATTAAAGCTTCAGAAACAAGCATTCACCTGCCACCTGGACAATATCACACAAGCAATTCACATTCATTTTTGGAAATGTATAAAATCCTCACCGTATTTGTCCCCCACCAGTCCCTCCTCCATGACCCCCATCCAGGCAAATGGAGGTGACTCAAAAAACTTGGACACATTGTAGGCCCTGAACTCGTTTCCAGGGTCTGCTGTAACACACCAACAAACACTTGGTGGCTTACCTGATTTTCTCCAAGTGTGGAGGACAAGAGTCTAACATCTATAACAGTCTGCCAAACTCAGTGTTGGGAGGGCAATGCTGGCTCTGGAAAGTCAAGATGAAAATCTGCTCATGGCTGCTTCCAGTTTGGAAGGCTGGTGACATTCCTTGTCTTGTGCCCACATCACTCCAATCTCTGCCCAATGAGGTGACATTGTGTCTCCCTTTCTGTGTGTGCAAATCTCCCTGTACCTCTTTTGTGTAGAATAGATGAGATGGAATTTAGAGGACACCAGAAGAAAATTCAAGATCATCCCCCTAAATCAAAATCTGTAACTTGATCACATCTGCAAAGTCCTTCTTTGCCTTGGAGGATAATTACAAGGTCCCTGGTTTAGGATGTGGATATCCTTTGGGGGACAATTTTGAACCTCTTGCAGCTCATCTCCTTCCTGACATCTGAGAGTCGGCTAAGTCCTGCCCCGTCCACTGCCATAGCTCCACTCGGCTCCTGACCTATCCACCCACACAGCCATCATCATAGTCCTTTCCTAGTCCTGCCTGGCTTGTGCCAAAGTCTCCAAAGTGGTGTCCTGGGGGCTGAGATATCCCTCCTGCAGCACACCCTACTCATTACATCACAGTGACCCTCCTAAAACAAATGTCAATCAGATCTTACATCTGTAATCCTGAAATACTAGATGTCATGCATCAAGCAAGAGGACTTATTATTAGTCCTAAGCCCATTCTTAAATTGTAATAGGTATATTTATTTAAACTATGATTGAGAAAATAGAAGATAACAGTTATCTACTATTATCAGTTATCTCCAATTCTTTTACAATAAATGTGTATTTTTAGTCACATTAGTAAGCATGTACACTGGAATTGGTGCCTGTTTTCTGAAACACATTGCATGTTCAGTTTGCATACTATGCATGATGCACACAGGGAGCTCTCACAACTCCTAAGAAATCCAGACTCGCTGAGAGGATCAAGCCCACCACTGGTGTTGCACACAAGGCCTTGTATGACCCGTCCCAGGCACCACTTCAACCTCTTCTCCCTGCTCACCCAAGATTCCGCGCTCAGCCATAGCTGTCTTAGTGCCATTCACTCATATGTTACATTGGGTCACACCAGAGTACCAGGGCATTTGGTGTTTCGTTTGCTTCTGTAATTTACCCTGCACAGGACAGCTGACAACCTCATCTGTAACGTCCAATTCACATCTCATCCTATGTGAAGCCCTCCCTGACTCTGACAATGTAAAATAAAGCTTTGTACAGAGACATACATATTTATACTCAATGGAAGACACACAGATACACATTTTTACACACACAGACACACCCAGAGACAGACCCGAACAAGACACAACACACACACACACACACACACACACACACACACACAGAGGCAGTCATACCTCTGTTATTACTTTAACTTTCTGTGGTATAATATTCATATCACAGTGTTGTTTTGAAACATTTTGAATAAATTAATAACATAAAAGGAGAAATTTTATCAGTTTTTATTATTATTTCTAAAATACTTAAGAGTTTACATGTGTCGAGCACCCTTATGGGTGGACATTATCCTGGAAGGGTTACAGGTTTTGTTTCCCTTGTTTCCCTTTGTCCTTACTAGTCCCCTGGAAGGGGAAAGACTGTTCCCACCATTGCATGTGGGGATGAAGAATGCCCCACCCACTGTTCCTTCACCCTGTCTTTGTGTTACAATCAACTGGGCACATTTCAGAAGCAACTACTTCTGAGGCCCCACACTGGGACTAATATATGGATATCTCTGTGCGTAGAGTCCAAGCAGTCCCCATTTCCTCACCTCTGCCTCCTAACGGTGCACCCTCCCGGTGACTGTGGAGTCCACCACTGAAGTGGAGAGGGACACAAGGCTGTTCATGACAGTCAGAGAACTCCCAGCATCACCAAGGTCGTCACCTGAGGACCTTCCCTTGGCTGCTTCTATAGGCCTTCAAGCCTGGCAATTGAAGGTCATTCATTAGTTTCACTGGTATAAAACTAATACACTTAGGGTGTCATACAGGAACATTTCCTACATGAGATGCCTACAGAGTGGGAGGTGAGATATGCAAGACTCCAGAGGCTGGGGCTGGAGGAGAGAGGTTACAGCGTGGTTGTTTAACGGGTAGTCTCCCTGTTGGGATGATTTCTGGAAAAGGATAGTAGAAAAAGATTGTGAATGTACTCAATGTACGTAATTGTACACTTATATAAGGTTGAAATGGTAAATTTTATGCTATTTATATTTTACCAAACACACACAAAAAGACTCCACAGCCTGTAGCCCTCTGAGAGGCGGCAGAAAGTTAGCTGTAAGTTTCAGGAGGGTCTGTGTTTTAGTCCCTTGTGGACACACCCTCCCAGAGCTGTTGACATCTCAAAGTCAAACTATGTGTGGGTCAACTCTCTGTTGGATTTGCCTCCTTGGTTTCCATTTGTTGAAGATATCACTAATTTTTAGAAACTCTGGCTCAAATTTACAAACTGAGTTAACCAAGACCCGCTTCTGCAGGGTCTCTTGACGTTACCTTTGAGGCTTCTAATTCTTTCCCTGCACAGACAGAATTGCTGTCTCTGTGGGCTCTCCTCCTCAGGTATCTTCTCCCTGCACCCATCTTACTCTGGATGACAAGGCCAATATTCTTTTGGGTAGAGCATATCCTCTGCTGCCTTATGAGAAAAAGCTCACTGGAGATAAACCTTTTGAAGAGTCGCACATTTGAAATATTTTTATTTATCCTCATGTTTCAATGCTAGCTGATTGCATATAGAGCTCTATTCATATACAATGATAGGTCAGGTTTGTCATAAGTTTCCTTAAAGCCAACTTTCAATGACTTCCCAACCAATGATATGAAGTTCAATGTGTCCCTTTAGAAATTAGCATATCGAGGCCTGTGTAAGAATCAAAGCTTCACATTGTTTCACAATTAAGTCTTCTCCTTCCCCTCTCTCTTTACTTCCCTTTTTCTGTCCCTCCTGTTAACCATAGTTTCTGACAGATTTACTGAATGTGGGAAACATGTAACACAGGTTGCAGGTGGGCAATAAGAAGATAAATAGGCCAACAGCATGTAGATATGCTTGAGCAACAAGTTGTATGTAAATTATCTGAATACAACACTTTCAAGAAGGGATCAGAAAAATAATAGGAAGCATGGATCAAAAAAGTGCTTTGTTTTCAAACTTAGGCCTTTGCTTCATGTGTGAACATGGCATCTCTCGACCTTTTAGAGAATGTGAAGTAGAAGCCGAGTTCTCAGTGGTCTATAATGGTCCTAGCAGTCCTTCAAGGTTTATCATAACATTTTCTCAGGTTTATAAACTACCGGCTGGCAGCCGACATGGACAGAGCACCTACTCTGTGCCCAGCCCTGTTCTGAGGACATCCACACTGTAACTCACTGAGGCCTTTTCCTTTGTACTTGGTTAACTCAGTTTGTGAATTTGATCCAGGGTTTCTAAAACATTAGTGATATCTTCAACAAATGGAATCCGAGGAGGCAAATCCAACAGAGACTTGACCCAGCATAATTTGACTTTGAGATGTCAACAGCTCTGGGAGAGATTTTCCACAAGGGACTGAAACACAGACCCTCCTGCGACTTACAGCAAACTTTGTGCCGCCTCTCATAGAGCTACAGACTGTGGAGCCTTTTTGTATGTGTTTGATAAAATATAAACAACATACAATTTACCATTTCAATCCTATAGGTGTATAATTACTTGCATTGAGTACATTCACAATCTTTTACTATGATCCATCTCCAGAAACCATCCCAACCAGGGGCTCTACCCATTAAACAACCACGCTGTAACCTCTCTCCTCCAGCCCCAGCCTCTGGAGTCTTGCATATCTCACCTCCCACTCTGTGGGCATCACATGTAGGAAATGTTCCTGTATGACACCCTAAGTATATTAGTTTTATACCAGTGAAACTAATGAATGACCTTCAATTGCCAGGCTTCAAGGCCTATAGAGGCAGCCAAGGGAAGGTCCCCAGGTGACCACATTGGTGATGCTGGGAGTTCTCTGACTGTCATGAACAGCCTTGTGTCCCTCTCCACTTCAGTGGTGGCCTCCACAGACACCGGGTGGATGCACCCTTAGGAGGTGAGGAAATGG